GTTTTGGAAGTTTCAACTTTTATGGGAAGCCGAGCGACTTTTTTTCTTTGTTAATCTAAATGATCCCATAAAATTAGTGACACAAATGCAAATAGCGAAGAATAGTCCATTAAAATGTTTAGTTTTAGTTCAAGGGTTAAGTTCAAAAGTTTCGAAAGTTTTAACTTTTATGGGGTCTAAATGAATGAATGTCTCGTAACTTTTTCGGAGTGTTTGAAAATTTCCAAGATCAAGTTACATCTAAAGACGTTGCGATAAAAAGTGTCGATTTTGATTTGAAACTCAACCAAAATCGTGATTTTATCTTTGACAATTAGTGATACAAATGCAAATAGCGAAGAATCGAAGAATTCTACGATATCGGCCGTTTCGGGAGCTACAGAGGTCTCCGAAGCTACTAAAGATGAATTTCAACAAATTCATGGTATTTAGCTAAAGTGTTATAAAAAGGTCACATGATTTATTTGGTTTTAGATTTGATGCTGAACGCGCGAAAGGCATCAAGCGAAGCGCACGTCTAAAGCGCACCTAGGACGCGTTGAACAACGAAGCAAAAACGATTCTGGCTGAAAGTATGTTGTTTTTGTGATACTGGGGAACATATTGACATTTGAAAATTTGAGTGAGGATTTGTAATTTGCTATTTCTATCACGTAAAAAGTCATTGAACCTCGATTAAGTGGACTCGGAAATAGCGAATTTTACAATCGACGAGTCGATAACGTGAAAGTAAGTTCTTTAAGACATTCACTAGTTAACTAACATTTTGAAAATTTTTGCTTACATTTACATTTAGTTGGGTGATGATGATCGATCTTCTGCATCGGAGAGGTTGGATGAGGCGACGTTTCGACAAAATATGGCAGAAGCCGAGCGACTTTGTTTCTTTGTTTTTTTTTGGGGTTTTACTCGGTCTTTTTGGTCAATTTTTTTGTTTTTGGTACCGCAGTTAAATTTTTTGGTAAATCCCTGCCGGGCCTTTTTGATAAAATCGGAAGTGACTGTTAAGGATGGCAAATAGGGGAATTAAGAATATGATGAGCAAAGCAGAGATCGTTAAGGAGTCTATGAAGGAGCAAGGATATAAGAGAGAAAAGATTAGGGTACCGTAAAGTACATAAAAAACGATATTATTTGGTTGAGAAAGTAACAGAAACCAGCAACAAATAATTGTTTCATTGGGAAGGCATGTAGAAGGCCAAAAATCGAAGATTTAAAAACGTGTTAACCACGTAGGGATTCGTAATTACAAATGGGCACACAGTAAACTCATTGAACACAAGAAGAGAAAAATTGTAGAGACTGAAGAATAAATTAATTCTATTCTGTTCAAATTCAATGACTATCTGCCTAATTCAGATTCAAATCTAAATTCGAACTTGTTAAATGAATGAATGATAAATCTGAATTTAAGCGCTATCTTCAAATCCATTTACCTTTAAGATTAAGGCACCGTAAAGTAGGTCAAAAACGATAATATTAGGTTGAAAAGGTAACAAAAAGCACCTACTAATAATTGTTTCATTAGGAAGGCATGTAGAAGGTCAAAAATCGAAGACATAAAAACGCGTTAACCACGTAGATGCAACTCGATTTTGGGTCGATTCGGCGGTGGAAAGACAAACTATTTTTATCGAAGTCGTTTCGAAGAGAAAGACGCCAAAAAAGTCGTTTCCACGAGAAATGAGGGGAGTGGAAAGCCTCATGGGGGAAGTGGAAGCAATCCCCGGCAATCTAGATCGATCTTTTCACATTCGTTCAATTGGTTTTCGATGAATTTGCCGAGTTATTCTTTTACTTCTTGATCTTCTCCAAATGATCTGAAGCTCAGTAGTGTGTGCTTTTTGACCGATCCACAAAAATTGGTGAGGAACTTTAGGCAATCTTCCTTCATGTCAACATAGAACTTGGGTTGGTTCACGGATTTCAACTGGTCCACGAGCATCCAATCGGTCCACGAGCATTCAATCGGTCCACGAGCATCCAAGGATTTACTTACCGTAAATACTGTAATAGGACGGCACCCCCATAATGACGGGGTATTGCCGCGTAGTCTAGCTTTGAACGTCCTGTTCTCCGCGCTGTTTTATGCTAGTGGCATAGTATGCTAGTATTAGTGGCTTTTCAACAATGATCTTTTCTCACAAGCGTAATCGGCGGATCATTTTGGAGCCGATATAGGGGTAAATCGGCCTTGCTCACTGAATAGTAGAGCAGCTTGTCCTGATAGAGAGACAAAATCTCCCAGATCTACGGGAAATTCTCTTCCAATTCCGCCAGCAATGTTTCGATCGACAAAAATGGTGTGCCTGAATTTGTTGTTTTTATCGGCCTGTCTACTTTAGTCAGTCTAACCTATCAGTGGAAATAACAGCTGGAGAAAGGTTTGTCCTAATGAAACCTTTGGATACCAATAACCTGAATAGGATGTAAAGTCTTGTGTCTAACCAAGCCAACACTAATATTTGTTAAAACAAACCTCATTTGTCATGTTTTCATTTTCAGCTTTCTTCCATAATTTGTCGAAACGTCGCCTCACCCAACATTTCGGACGCCGAAAATCGATTATCATCACCCAACTAAATGTAAATATGAGTAAAAAGTTTCAAAATGTTAGTTAACTAGTGAATGTCTTAAAGAAGTTACTTTAACGTTATCGACTCGTCGATTGTAAAATTCGCTATTTTCGAGTTCACTTTATCGATGTTCAATGACTTTTTACGTGCTAGAAATAGCAAATTAAAAATACTCACTCAAATTTTCAAATGTCAAAATGTTCCCAAGTATCACAAACGCTCACAAAATAACATGATAAATATTAGCACAAAAATAGATACTTGGCCGAATCTTTCAAAGGTTCTTGCCGCAAAATCACAGAATTGCTTCATGCAGCTTGATTTACTCATCTTGCTGATTATGATTATGAAAAGGTTTATGACCCGGTCGTTGATTTTCTTTCACAAAAACACGGACTTGAACGAATCGATGACGGCGAAAATCACTCGGCACTCGTGTCTCGTGCAAAGGGCTTTTTAGGGGGTCGCTGGTTCAATAAAAATAGTTTGTGTTTCCGCCGCCGAATCGACCCAACAACAAGTTGCATCTACCTGTTTAACGCGCTTGCAGGTCTTAATTTTTTGACCTTTTACGTGCCTTCCTCATGAAACATTTTTTTGCTGCTTTCTGTTACTTTTGTAACCAAATACCCTAAAATTCCATAGATAAGAGCGGTTTAATTTTTGCCAAATTTTTTTAAAATATTTTAATTTATTATAAAACCAAACAACAACAAGAACAAAAGTAACAATAATTTAACTAATATTTTCAATTTCTACATCGTCATCATCGTTTATGTTCATACCGGAAAAATCGTTTTTGAGGTTTTCAACATCACACAGTGCTTTTTCAAAGCTATGTATGATAGTGTCAGAAGAGATGGAAAAAAAAACTTTCGCTGACCAAAAATGCTGCTTCTTGGTAGCTCATTCTTTTTCTGATTCCGCTTTTTGTATAATTTGCATTGCATACATTTGCATACTTCCGGAAAGAAGAACATTTTTGCTGATGATCACATGGCAGTGGTTGTCCTACACTTGTTCTTCTTCGTATCGACAATTTTTTTCGTGCCATGAATGAGCTGCACCAACGCGGGGATGCCTTGAACTCGTGGTAGCCGTGCTCTTCTGCTAACTTCTTTGCTCTGGTTCTTATCTCATTTATTTTGACTGCTCTATTAAGGTCTCTCTTTTGAACAATCCAATTGTAAATTTCTTCCTCAATTTCTTCCACGCTTGGCCTTTTGTAACGCCGGGCTCTTTTTGTTGCTGGCATCTCCTCGAGGATATCCCTATCCGCAACCCATTTTCTAATCATTCCTTCAGTCACATTAAAATGAATAGCTGCCGCTAATGTTCCATGCGCATCCCGGTGCTTCACCGCATCAAGCTTGAAAGCCGCCGTATAAGACTTGCGACGTTGCATGATTTCTAAAATAAAAAATATAAAACGTAAGGTTAAAAAACAAAAAAAAATAAAAATAAGGAAAAAAATTAATATCCATAACAAAATTTCCGAAAAAAGTATTTTTAGCGATAACCGCTCTTAACTATGAACCGCTCTTATCTATGGAATTTTAGGGTAATATAATTTTTTATGTACTTTACGGTACCTTAATCTTTCCTCTCTGAAATTCTTGCTCCATCGTAGACTCCTTAACGATCTCTACTTTACCCATCATATTCTTAATTCCTCTATTTCCCATCCTAAACAGTCACTTCTGATTTTATCAAAAAGGCCCGGCAGGCATATTCCCAAATTTAAACTTATTTCAGGTAAATGGATTTGAAGATAGCGCTTAAATTCAGATTTATCATTCATTCATTTAACAAGTTCGAATTTAGATTTGAATCTGAATTAGGCAGATAGTCATTGAATTTGAACAGAATAGAATTAATTTATTCTTCAGGCTCTACAATTTTTCTCTTCTTGTGTTCAATGAGTCTAATGTGTGTCCATTTGTCAATTAAACATGTTCCGTTGTCACTTTTTCATGCTTACATAAAGTGTTGATATATCTCCTGGTTCGGGTCTAGTTCGCTGCTGACTGGTTATTATCCCATTATGTTGTAATTATTATGGAATTATGTTGTAACTTTTTCCGGAGATTACGGTAACTTTCCCTAGTACTCATTGTCAGCCAGCTACAAGAATCCCTGACAAACTAAAATCCTACAAGATTTGTTTGAGCTAAACAAGTTTCGATTTTAAGTTGAAACTCAACCAAAACCAAAACATAAAAATGGTTTCGCGGTGGCCATTCCGCTAATATTTCTGCATTTACAGAGCTTAGTGGGTTTTTTTGGGAGCAAGACGTTTGAGTTTGAAATTTTTGAAAGTTTCGATTTTGAATGAAGGATTACGAACATTTCTTTGCATCACGTTTTTCCAAATTCCTACAAATAAGAAGAGACATGGGTCAGAGGTTTAGCAATACGCAGCTAAAGCTTCATCTTCAAGAAGAAAAATCGATTGTTAGCGAATACCGTAAAAACCGTTGGAGTTCTATCTTCTATTAGGAGCACCCAGAAATCGAGCGGTGGATCGTCTTCCTGGAATTTTAATAGAGTAAAAAAAGATTATTTGCTCCCTTGATCCTTCATGGCCACTACATTCTCGGTCCTCGAATGGAATATTGCGAGGATGGAGACTTGAAAAGTTGCGGGTTTTCTATAACAGAAGCTTCCGCTTTCGCTAACGTGAGATTAGTGGGAATCTCAGAAATTCTCGAGAATTTCGTCTTGTTGCTTTCAATTAGTAGCATGAGCTTGCAAAAGTAATCAATCTCTACACTCGAAAGCCCAGGTACCTTCAACCCGAGGCTACCTATTCGATTTTCACAGAGCACCTGTTCTGTGCCCTTGACGATCTCCATGACAGAAAGCGAATCCATCGAGACACCAAAACAGACAAGTAGCTTTCAAAATTTGATTAAAAAACTCAAAGTTTTTGTGTCCTAGTGAACGGTCACTTCGCCCTAAAGCTCGGCGATTTCGGCTTGGTGAAAGACGTGACAAAGACGGTGACCGGCTCCTACCAGGGTTGTAGATTTTTTGTTTGTTTTTTACTGTTTTACTGGGGTTTACCAAAAAATTTAACCGCGGTTAACAAAAACAAAAAAAAATTGACCAAAAAAACAAAAAAACAAAGTCGCCTGGCTTCTTCCATAATTTGTCGAAACGTCGCCTCATCCAAGCTTTCCGTTGCCGAAGATCGATCATCATCACCCAACTAAATGTAAATCTGAGTAAAAAGTTTCAAAATGTTAGTTAACTAGTGAATGTCTTAAAGAGCTTACTCTCACGTTATCGACTCATCGATTGTAAAATTCGCTATTTCCGAGTTCACTTTATCGATGTTCAATGACTTTTTACGTGCTAGAAATAGCAAATTACAAATACTCACCCAATTTTTCAAATGTCAATATGTTCCCCAGTATCACACAAACAACATACTTTCAGCCAGAATCGTTTTTGCTTCGTTGTTCAACGCGTCCTAGGTGGGCTCTAGACGTGGGCTCTGCTTGATGTCCTTTTGTGCGTTCAGCATCAAATCTGAAACCAAATAAATAATGTGGTCTTTTCATGACAATTTAGCTAAATACCATTGTTGCCGTTCATCTTTAGTTGCTTCGGAGAACTCTGTAGCTCCCGAAACGGCCGATATCCTAGAAAATCTAGTTGCATCATCTAAAATTTCCTGCTTCATCCTCACAATTTTAAGCAAACCACTAAGATCTTCAGGATTAACAGGCTGGTCCCAGTTGCTGAAACATCTCCACGTGAACGTGAAAAAATGAACTCCACAACAAGGTTTACCTGGTATTTTCCGAGAAGATCCAGCTTCTTCACATTGAGATTGCAGCCGGGATTCTTTTGAGCGGGAGAGCGCCGCTTCTTTCTGGAACAGATCACAGAAGAGCCGGGCGGTGATGGAGTTGGATCTAAACGAAACTTGTTTAGCTCAATCAAGTCTTGTAGGATTTTATTTGTCAGGGATTATTGTAGCTGACTGACAATGAGTACTAGGGAAAGTCACCGTAATCTCCGCAAAAAATTACAACATATATCTGTAATGGGATCATAACCAATTAGCAGCGAACTAGACCCGAGCCAAAAGATATATCAATACTTTATTCCTGTCAGCATGAAAAAGTGACCACGGAACATGTTTAATTGACAAATGGGCACACAGTAAACTCATTGAACACAAGAAGAGAAAAATTGTAGAGACTGAAGAATAAATAAATTCTATTCTATTCAAATTCAATGACTATCTGCCTAATTCAGATTCAAATCTAAATTCGAACTTCTTAAATGAACCAATGATAAATTGCATTTAAGCGCTTTATTCAAATCCATTTACCTGAAATAAGTTTAACTTTGGGATCATACCTGCCTAGCCTTTTTGATAAAAGCAGAAGTGACTTGATGGAGCAAGGATTCAAAAGAGAAAAGATTAAGGCACGTTAAAGTACATCAAAAACGATAATAATTGGTTGGAAAGTTAACAAAAAGTACCAACAAATAATTGTTTCATTGGGAAGGCATGTAGAAGGCCAAAAACTGATGACAAAAAAATACAGACGCGTCCAACAGGTAGATGCAACTCGTTGTTGGGTCGATCCGGCGGTGGAAACACAAACTATCTTTACCCAACACGCGATCCAAAAAAAAAACCCTTAAAAAAGTCGTTTGCACGAGAAACGAGTGCCGAGCGAATTTCGCTGTCATCGATTCGTTCAAGTCCGTCCTTTTGTGAAAGAAAATCAACGACCGAGTCACAAACCCACAAACCAGTTGGCATCGTAATGAAAATCCCAGCTTCAGAATTCTTACTTGGAATTCCTCGATTGACAATGCAGCGGACGGTTTGTTCAAATTCAAATTCAAAGCCCCGGCTTTTCCAAATTGCAATCTTTTTGACTTGCGTTTTCATCATGACCTCGTGGTAGCAATCCCCGAAGCGGCAATCTAGACCGATCTCTTCGCATCCGTTCAATTGGTTTTCGATGAATTTGCCGAGTTGCTCTGTTACTTCTTGATCTTGTTCATTGATGAACAGTCGTGCGTCCTTTTTGACCGATCCACAAAAATTGGTGAGGAACTTCAGGCAATCTTCCTTCGTGTACACAGAGAAATTGAGTTGGTTCACGGATTTCAACTGGTCCACGAGCATCCAATCGGTCCATCTGGCATGGATAAAGATGTGCAACTTGTCGCATGAATCAATCCGTTTGGCGAAAGGATGAAGAGTTGCATCCAGTTCAAGGGACGGAGAATTGGCGAACTTCTTGATCCAATTTTGCGGTTCGGAGCTCTTGCCGAGGGCAACCACAGCGACGTGCTTTCCGAAAACGATTGATTGATCCATTGCATAGCTCGCGTAGAGCCTCTTGTTCACCATCATCAATTTCACCACGTCTTCCACATCGAGATGGTATGCGATCTTCTCCACCAGCTCCAGAGGTAAATCTTCAAACTTCTTTGGTTCCGGTTCTTGCTCCCGTTTTTGTGTACGTGTTGCAACCGGCATTGTCGTATCTGAAAATAAAAAGAGGTCATTGGAATTGACATTTATATGATTTACTGAAGTCACTTTTGTCACCAAAAACCACTTTTTTAGGTCAATCTATAGCCGTAACCATTTTACATTGTAAAAATCAGATCAAGAACTCCAACAAATTGTATCTGATACTAAAATTGACTCCAATAAACCATAAAACCAACAAAAATGTACCAAAAACGAATGAGAAGCGATCAAACGTAGATAAAGCTAAGTTTTATCCAAAAAATCCTTCATATCCTAAACCTTTCAAATTAATAATCAAGGATGCCCTTAAAAGCACTCAACTGATTGAGCTGAATTTACGCTGGAAAATCATACTTTTTGAAAAATCCCTAAAAGGAAAGCTGCCCTTATTTTTTACGACTAATTTCTTAAAGACGGCTTGTAAATGGTAGAACAAAGTGTTCTTGAATTGGTGAACTCGTTTTTAAGAAATTCCAGTTCAAATCTTAGCAAAGACTTTCTTGCGAATTTATCTGATCAAAAGTTGCTCCAAAATAAAGCCCACCATCAGAATTGAAGGCTGCAGATCGACAAGAGGCTTCGTCAGCAGTCAGGTAGATCGTCTCATACATGCACGTCTCGGGCGATTCGGGCACGATGTCAGCATCAAATTTCAAAGCAAGTCCCGCCGAATTTGCATCAAACTAAAAAACCACACTCCAAAAAGACCAAACAAAAAGACCTGAAGTCCATTTTCCTTGTCCTGTTGTTCAGCTTCGTCGAATTGTTTGACCATCGAGATGAGGCGGAAGAGTCTGTCGCACGGAGCCGGCGGATTTGCTGAGCAACCGATTGACGAGGCCAAGCTGAGTGCGATTTGTTGCTGTCCATCGTAGAAGAGTTGGCTAAAGTAAAAGATTAGATAAAAAAGATTGGCTAAAAGGCTCACCTGATCATCAATCTATACATGTAATCCCGGTCCTCGATATCAGGTCGCATCCTTGAGATCTAAAATTTTAAAAATGATGTAAAAAGAAAGCAAACGATTATAAAAATATTTAAACGGAGTAAAACAATACAATCTAGAGCAGTAGCCATTTTAATTTTATTTCATTAATCTAGAGGAGTAATCATTTTTCATCGTAAAGGAAAATCAAAAGAATGGCAAAAGGGGGATTTTTGACAGGGGTACGGTCGCGAATCCACGCTTTCGCGCCACTCTTTTGAAACCATGTCAATAGGAATCTAACTTCAGAAAAGAAAGAAAGAAATTTTGAAATGGTCTCACGACAGTCAATTCATATTATTAGACAACAAAAAACCATGGGCAAACAATATAAAAAGGAGGGAACGAACGAGGGACGAGAGAGAGTACTTAAAAAAGTGCTACAAGAACATAACAGATTTTACGAATTGGGAAGAACACTTAGTGGGACTCGGCATAAAGGCGGATAACATTCATGCTGAAAAATGAATAATGAACAATATCATGGAATGCCAAAAAATTAAAAGAATGGCAGAAGGGGGATTTTTGTCTGGGGTACGGTAGCGTATCCCACAGATACACCAAATGTTTTTCCAGGCTTATCGACGTCGTGTCGATGCTTCCAGATAAACGTGAGAAGGCTCAATCGTCCCATAATCATCTCATACTGACAGTATGGTTTAGTTACGACAACAATGAAACGTTGCAAAAGTTGTCAACATTATTGGACGAGTCATCGCCATTGAAGGTGTCTATCTTTTTCATCCAGAGTGTTGGATGGGAGGTTTTACCACATCCACCTTATAGTCCAGACCTTTCTCCCTTAGGTACCTAACCCTTAGGTACCTAACTCTTAGGTACCTAACCCTTAGGTACCTAACCTTTAGGTACCTAACTCTTTAAGAATCTACGTTTTGAATCAAGTAGTCTAACCAGGCCTGAAAACTTTGATTAGTGTAAAGCTTTCAGGCCTGAAAAGCTTTGATTACTCTAAGGCTTTCAGGCTTGAAAAAGCTTTCAGGCGTGAAAAACTTTGATTATTGTAAGACTTTCAGACCTGAAAAGGCTTTCAGGCCTGAAAGCCTTTATACCTAAGGATTAACTAAGGATTAGCCCTTATACCTAAGGATTAGGTACCTAAGGGTTAAGTACCTAATCCTTAGATATCTTGAGATATGGACCTTTTAAATGAATCGACCCTATCAAAGAACTAAATGAACTTTGACCGAAAATTTATCTATGTTTTTATATTAAAGTTTACTAAGCAAGTTATAGTTTTCTATAATAGAATTTCATTAGCTACATTTTAAAACCAACCGCAAGTCAAACCGTCAATTGGAAGTGGAGCTATGAGGCAAAACAGAAGAGTAGTCTAACTCCAATTCTCTGAGGGGGGTCAGAGAAATCTTTGAGGGGGGTCAGAGGCTTATCTCGACTTTGACTCCAGTTTTCTCTTGAATTTTATTGATAAGTTTATAAAATAAATTATATATTTTTTGAACGAAATTTAACGTAGATTTTAATGACAGTAAGTAGAATTTCATTGAACTCCTACATTTTGAGTTATAAACCTTTTAAATAAATCGACCCTTACAGAGAAGTAGGTGAACTTTGACCAAAAATTTCTCTATGTTTTATATTAAAGTTTACTAAGCAAGTTATAGTTTCTATAATAGAATTTCATTGGCTACATTTCGAAACTAATTACAAGTCAATCCGTCAATTGGAAGTGGAGATACAGGGCAAAAGAGAAGAGTAGTCCAACTCCAATTCTCTGAGGGGGGTCAGAGACTTATCTCGACTTTAACTTCAATTTATTTGGTTACCACATTTTTTCAAAACACAAATTATACAAAAATTGGAAGTTTTTCAAGCTCTTCAATTGTTAAAAGTAAATCACGATTTACGTTCCTTTATTCTACTTTGTGGACCAATTTCGTTAAATTTGAATTTATTAGTGTAAGGTTGGTGAATCTGATCGAGAGAGGCAATGGTCAAGTGATGGCCGATTCCATAGAAATTGCGATAAAACCGTATGTTGGCTTTCGACTTAATTTTTTCAGTGTGGAAGAAACTTGTTTTAAAACAAATTATTCTGGTACAATACAATTCGTACAAATGCGGTACAATTCAAATGCAAGTTATCCACTTCACCGACGACTTTTTCAGAAACTTGCACATTTTACTAACTTACATATAGAATGTATTGATAGAATTGAAACGAGGACGACAAAATTTCATGTTCATAAGTTTTTACCCGTTAAACCGGGAATGCCTTTACGAAACATTGGTCTCAATTTTGGCGGAATCAATATAAACCTGAACATCCTGCAAGCACTTCTCTCAACATTTGACACGCTTCAAATAAATACATCCATTAACTTCATGGTATCAAGTGAAATTTCTGTTCAGACTAACCATGAAATCATGAAATTTATGGAAAATCGCTGGATATTACGTTCAATTTGTTTAATTGATTTTCCTTTTAATATGATTAAAGAGAAACTTTCGTCAAAATTGAGTGAAATTGTATCTCTTTCATTAAGACATTATAAATTGGAAAATTTCGTGAATTCCGTGAAATTCTTCCTAGACAGTAATTGTTTCAATAAAATATTATGGATTAGTTTTTCTGACTATCAAATAGAAAATCCGACTCTGATATATGATCAACTTACTAGTGCATTTCTTCAAACTTTCAAAATCCTCCGTTGTAAACAGATTAGCCCTTTGTTTATAGACTTTTTCAAATTTAAACCGCGGTCAGGGCCCAGAAGTGGCTCATTCCTTTTGCAAATTCCCTTTGCTTCCAATGCCTCTTTATCAAATTCATTTCCCGTTAGAGCCGCTAGATTATGGAACTTGCTCCCAAACGACATACGAGAAATTCAGTCGCTTTTCATATTCAAGAAACGTATCGATGCTTTAGATCTAGTGGCTCTTTGCCGTAAGTAATTGGCTTATTGATTTCAGTATGTATTGTATGATTAAGTATCACTGTGCATTTCTCTATCATTTCTTTCACTTTATCGTTTGAATAAAGTATTATTATTATTATTATTATAAGCTCATTTTTTTCTTGTTAAGAATAAAAAATTTGAAAATTCTGAAGAAACACTTATTTTTCATCGTTTTCCATATAATTTCCAATTTCGGGTTACGATAGATCACCTAAGATTCACTGTCACTAAAGAATTTTATTGATCGATGATTTCAAAAATTTTATGTTATAAACTCTTTGCTTTTTTTTGTAATTAATTTATGAATAGATTTATTTAATTTGTGCAATTTCTTTAAATTTAATAAATAATTTAAATAATTATTTTCGATAATGTTGCTACTCAAAAATGATTGACTTCCATGGGTAAGCAAGTTAACTTTGACTTCTCTATTTTATTCGATAACACAATTTTATTATTTAAAACACTTAATTTTCTAACAATTTAATAATTATTAACGAAAAAGAATACTTTTTGTTAGGCGACCCCCGATTTTTTCAACGGATTCAACCTTTCCAACTGAAACTACATTTAGAAAAGTGTTCTTAAAAGATTAAAAAAAAAAAATTTTGCTGAAAAAAACCTAAGGTATTTACTATTAACTGTATTTACTTTTAAAAAAAAATTTTTTTTTTCAAAACATTTGAAAACAATTGATAAAGATGTAGTTTTGATGTAAACTTTCTAGATGTAGTTTTGAGGATAGAATTTAAATCTGTCGAAAAAATCAGGGGTCATCTAACAAAATCCACTCTTTTTCATGAACAATTGTACTATTGTTCGGGGGAGTTTAATCAATTATCACTTGTCCTCTATATTTAAACTTTCAATTGATCGATCAACTTAAGTAAATCATTCTCTTCTACTAAGAGTAATCCCACGGGATTATTCTTAGTAAATTCCTTTCTTTTACTAAGAGTAATTCCACAGGGATTACTCTCCATATATCACTCTTTCTTAGTAAGAGTAATCCCACAGGGATTACTCTTAGTATATGACTTTTTCTTAGTAAGAGTAATCCCACAGGGATTACTCTTAGTATATCAGTCTTTTTTACTCTGAGTAATTCCACAGGGATTACTCTTAGTAAATCACTTTCTTTTAGTAAGAATAATCCCACAGGGATTACTCTCCATATATCACTCTTTCTTAATAAGAGTAATCCCACAGGGATTACTCTTAGTATATCAGTCTTTTTTACTCTGAGTAAAATCAGATTAACAATTTGACTATGCCGTTATAGCCAAAATTGTTAAGCCTACGCTCAGAAACCGAACCTGCCCCTAGGTAACCTGGGGGCAGGTTCAGTACTTTGTGCCTACCGTGAAACATATTGCCATCTGGTACCGGGAACCTGCCCCCAGGTTACCTACTACTTAACCGTCCGCTGCATTGTCAATCGAGGAGTTCCAAGTAAGAATTCTGAAGCCGTGATTTTCGTTCTGACGCGAATGGAAGCGGTCATTGATTCGGTCGTTCGGGCCCATGTCATTGATTTTCTTTCACAAAAGCACGAACTTGAACGAATCGATGACGGCGAAAATCACTCGGCACTCGTTTCTCGTGCAAACGAATTTTTTAAGGGATCTAGGTTCGAAGAAATTCGACTCATTTGGCGTCGAGACGACTATCTTGAGAGTCTTTTTTTCGATGAAAATAGTTTGTGTTTCCGCCGCCGAATTGACCCAACAACAAATTGCATCTACCTGTTTAACCCGTTTTGCTCAGCGCGTTTAGGTCTTCAGTTTGTGGCCTTCTACATGCCTTCCAACTGAAACAATTATTTGTTGGTGCTTTTTGTTACCTTTTCAACCAAATATTATCGTTTTTGAACAGAATAAAATTAATTTATTCTTCAGTCTCTACAATTTTTCCCTTCTTGTGTTCAATGAGTTTACTGTGTGCCCATTTGTCAATTAAACATTTTCCGTTGTCACTTTTTCATGCTTACATGAATAAAGTGTTGATATATCTCCTGGCTCGGGTCTAGTTCGCTGCATACTGGTTATGATCCC